CCCACGGTTGACTTCTGGGCTCTGCCATACTCAGTTTGACTCAGCTCTTGCATCAGCATGAGTCAGCACAATTTAGCACTGGGAAGTGTAGGACAGATCAAGAGGAGGAGGAGGGGCAAAGTACACTCTGGAGTCTCAACTCCTACTGGCCGCCTTTTCACGTAAGATCCCATCACTTTCCGTAAAGGTAACCCAGAAGAAAGAATGCAGTCAGCAGTTGTCCACACATCAAATGGCCAACCGCCCATGGCAACCATCACTGCTTCCCCTTCCAGGGACTTCTCCATTCCTCCATGCCCAGCTCAAAGATTCCCTCCCTCCAGCCATTTGCTAGCTCCCCCATACCTAGGATTGCCAATTGCCAAGAGAAAAAAATATGTCCTGTCTCTTTAATAGAGGTTTAATGAGATGTCATTTACCTGGTGATGTAATTTACTTCATTCATCATGCCCCACCTTTCTCCCCAGTAGGGACCCAAAGCAGCTTACATTGCTCTCTCCTCCTCCATTTTATCCTCACAACCACCCTGCGAGGTAGGTTTGGCTGAGTGTGTAACTGGCCCAAAGTCCCCCCAGTGAGCTTCCATGGCAGAGTGGAGAGATTCAAACCTGGAGTCGTCCAGTTCCTAGTCTGACCCTTTAAGCACTAGATCACACTGGCTCTCTTATGTTAATCAGCTCCATGCCATGAAGAGCTTTCAGCTGCCCATTTCCACACATGAAGACTCTACTGAAAGGGAGAGGATATTTTTCTCCAGGCCTGTTGGCAATCCTATCCACACCCAAGTTCCCTGGGTGTTGCAGAGGCCTGGGAAGGGGTTGCTGGCTAAATCAAACCAGAATAGGGGAACCCCTGGCTGTAATTCTAAACATACTTACCAAGAATTAAAGAGCCAAACCAGATATGACTTTTAGGAGGTCTAAGCAGATCTACAGAGAAGTAAGTCCCATTTTATTCAGTGGGGCTTATTCCCAGAAAGTGTTTTTAGGACTGGATTGTTAATCTCCCAGCATTTTAACTCTAAAGCAGCCATGGAGGGCTCCAAATTGTTTTCTTGGAAGTGTAGCACTGGAGGAAGATGGATCCAACCCACTCCCCTTTCTCCCCAATTGCTTTATTTCGTTCTCGCTGAGATTCTAGGTGGATTACACAGTGTAAATCAATGCAGTCAACAGGATAGGACATCCAGTAAGCAATGTAGTAGCATTAGGATGGCAGAAATCTGAAACCAAGATGAACACCGAGTTTAAGTGTTGACATGTTAAACAATGCAAAGATTTCACACTTGGATAATGCATACAGCAACAGATAGTACATACTGTTTAGGCCTGGAGAAAAATGTCTTGTCCCTTCAATAAAGGCTTTAAAGTGTAAAAATGAAAAGCCTTGGCTGCCCATGGCATGACTTTTAATCGCCTGGTAAATAATATTATATTAAGCTCCTATTAAAGGGACAGAACATTTATCTCCAGGCCTGTTAGCTACACTGTTCCCATTTCCCGATTTAAATCTCTGCAGGAAGCTGCTATTAGCGGGGGGGGGGGGGGCTTCCAAGTAAATATGTTGATCATCAGCCTGCAGGTCTTGACACAAGGTCACCACCTACCCCACATTCCTTCTGCCCCACCATCCCAAGGTCCAAACATCATTTACTTGGGCCCGGCAGAAAATTGTCACATGGGGTCTCCCCTACGACAGTGATCCAATCCCATACATACAGTCTCAGGAGTCAAGGGGGGGGGGGGGTGAGTGTGCGCAGGGAGAGAAACTAGGAACAGAGACCTGAGAAGAACGATTTGATTCCCAAAATGGCGTATATGTCTACCATATCATGGTAATGGGTACCTGTTTTTGTCCCCGCCACACACACGCACACCAGTCTCGGGCCTCACATGCAACATCTCACTGTCCTATCAAAGAACTAAAGGGTTCAATTTAAAAAACAGATTATGTCATGGTGGTCACAAGGCTTGACTCAGCAGGCTTCTTCACCATGAGTCAGCATATCATAGGGCCATAAAGTATGAGGAAGGTCAAGAAGGGGGGAGGGGGGAGCTTTAACAAATAAGCTCATGAGTGGCACACTCCAGGCACATCATGTCTCCTTTCCACACGAAAACTGGCTCCAACTGGATTTGCAGGCTTCAGCTGGTTTAAAACACACCATGCTCCACATCTTCATGAGTCTAGATGTGTGTGTACACTGCTAACAGGTAGCAGCCAATTTAGGGCAACACGGTCAAGATTTCAAGGCAAGAGACGAACAGAGGTGGGTTTGCCATTGCCTGCATCTGTAGCAACCCTGGACTTCCTTGGTGGTCTCCCATCCAAGTACTAACCCGGGCCAAATCTACTTAGCATCTGAGATTGCCTGTAAAGCTCAGTGGGGTAGGCATGTTAGCCATTTTGTGTGTGTGTGTGTGGGGGGGGGAGAGATCTGAGGAAATGTCTCAAAGCACCTTAAAGCTTTTGTGGACAAGTTGCCACTTCATCAGATGCCTGAAGTGAAACCTTGGTTGTCAGATAGATGCATAGAAATGGCAGCGATTATGCCTCTTGCATTTAATGGCTTTTGGACCCCACTATTTGTAACTTTCTCGTGTATGCATAGGTAGGTATAGCTATCTTCAGGTCAAGGCTTCAGCTCAGTTAGTTCACGAAGTGGGCTCCTCCTGCCCAAGAAAACATGTCCTACAAGATATCCCTTTGAGACACTGCAATATATCAATCTTGTCCCAAACAGCATTGTCTTTGGGTTTGGACATGGCAGTGAGGAACTGAAATAAAATGATAACGTGCCCTGTGGGGCTGTCTCCCCGGCCCCCCCTTAACAGCCTGCTTGTGTAAACTGATCCATCAGCAAGTCCTCCCGGTACAGAGGTTCTGGGGCGTGGAAATTATTAATTGCCAATTAAAAGCCACTAACAGCACCTGGGGCTTGCTGAGTTGCGGCTTTTCCCTCCTGCGGCCTGGACTATCACCTTAATTAGGCTCATTAGCAGATGACATCTTTCGGGTTACAACCCCTAATCTCCTCACCCGTTTTGCCTCCCGGGTGTTTTACGAACGACAGCAGAAAACTGGCTGCTGAAACTGACGCGGATCTCGCGCCGCTTCTCGGGAGGCCAGCCAAGGTTTTTAATCAGCAGCCAGGGTTTGCTGCGGGGAGGAGGGGGCCAAAGGCCTTCCGCTCCGGCCTACGTGCGGCCTCCGGCGTACCCGTACTAGAGCGAGAGAGGAACAAACAAGAGCGCTTGCGCAGCAGAGAAAGGAAGGGAAACCAACACGCAAGTGCTAGTAGAATAAAGTATGAGCTCTCCGGAGCCAACGATCCCTTCTTCACAGCTTTGACTCTCAAAAACTCATGCCCTGAATCTCTTGCTGGTCTCCAAGGTGCTACTAGACTCAAATCTTGCTCTTCTACTGCAGACGAAGATGGCTGCCCTTTTGAAACGCATAACTGGCAGTCTCAGAGGTGCTGGTGTAGGTTCGCCAACTTTTAAGCCGATCCCTCTTGCTGTCCCGGTAACTTTGGCTTGATCTGCAGCAATGATCAGATCCCACACACCCCCAGCTCCATGCCGTGAAAATCTTCAGCTGCCCATTTTTAAATATTAAAAGGAAAGGACTTTTCCCCCCTCGGCCAGTTGGCAACCCTAGCTGTCATTAGTCCCACTCACATGGGCTATATTACTGTGGGCGACAAATAATTCTGTAGGAGGAGATTGGATTTATACCCCACCCTTCATTTTGAGTCTCAGAGCGGCTTACAATTGCCTTCCCTTCCTCTCCTCAAAGCAGACAGCCTGTGAGGGAGGTGGGGCTGAGAGAACTGCTCTTGAGGGAACAGCTCTGAGAGAACTGTGACTGGCCCAAGATCACCTAGCTGGCTGCATGCGGAGGAGGGGGAATCAAACCCGGTTCTTCACTCTCCTTTAAGGGCCAATATTAATTATTTTACTTCATGTATATCTTGCCTTTCTCCCCAGTAGGGACCCAAACAGCTCACACTATTCTTTCACCTTTTAAGGGCCAGTATTATTTACTTCATTATACTCTACCTTTCTCCCCAACAAGGACTCAAACAGCTTACACCATTCCCCTCTATTTTATCCTCACAACAACCCTGTGAGGTACGTTAGGCTGAGAGAGAGTGACCGGCCCAAGGTCACCCAGCAAGCTGCCATGGTAGAGTGTGAATTTGAACCTGGGTCTCCCAAAGCCCACTCCAGCTATTAAACCACACTGGCTGGATAGTCTCTAGAACAGTGATGGTGAACCTTTTAGAGACCGAGTGCCCAAACTGCGACCCAAAACCCACTTATTTATCGCAAAGTGCCAACACGGCAATTTAACCTGAATACTGAGGTTTTACTTTAGAAAAAACAACTCATACATTAACTTAAGATGATCCAAACAAAGTAAGGAAAGCAATCCCAAATGCTTTCATTTACTTAAAATTATTTGGCAGAGAATTCGACACTTTAATGATGGTCTGGGCCTGGCTGGGGTGATGGCACGCGTGCCCGCAGAGAGGGCTCTGAGTGCCACCTCTGTCACCCGTGCCATAGGTTCGCCACCACTGCTCTAGAAGACTGGCTGTAGGCATGGGGCCACAGCTGTCTGATCTTTTATCAACTGAACAGTATAAGAACAACGTATGAACAAAGCAGTCTGTGTGTGGAACTTCACATGTCCTGATTTGCCGATTATGTTGTCTGGGTCACTGAACTGAACGGAATCCATTGTCTGGGAACATGTAAAGTAGAAACAATGAAAAGTATGTAGAAAGTGCCTCTGCTCATTAACCATGACCAGCAGAGCCCCCAATTGTGATTAGACAAAATGAATGGCTGTTCAGGAGGGGTTGAGAACCGTAGCAACAATTTGGTGAACATTAAGCCCTGTCACAGAGATGGCTGTGCTGTGTATTATAAAATATGTATTCAAGATCACAGAGACAGAAAAACCAGGGTTAACTGGAACTGAGAGACGGGGTGAAGCCCTGCAAACCCCCTCCACAAATGGGATGCTGGGTTTTTAGACAGAGTATTTTATTGAAACAATACATCCCTGGAAAATATATTTATATCCTGTCCCTGCCCGTAAGAGCTCATGGTGAGAAATACAGAGGTTATCTCCGTGAAGCTTCACAACAACCCTATGAGGAAGGTTATGCTGAAAGACGGTGACAGGCCTGAAGTTGCCCAGCAAGCTTCATGACTCAAAAAAAGGATTCGAGACCCTCTCTCACAGGCCAAAGGGAGAAACACTAGCCTCTAAACCCCCAACACTCTTAAGAAGAAGTTTCACATCTGCCATATTGTGGTCATGGCAGAGAGCAAATTTGCAGGGCATCAAATTATTTTCAGTCCCATTTGCAACAGGAGTGTAAGTGCATCAGTCCATAGAGCTGAGGGTGTTCTCTGGTCTCCGTCTACACCTTGAAGAAATGGTGTAATTCAGCATAGCAATCTGTAAGACAACAAGAAGACAATAAAAATGCATTCAGATTCAAAGATACTACTCCTAACAGGGCAACCGCGCGCGCACACGTGTATTCACAGCGTTCCACAGTTTTTGCAAGACAGTCTAAAGATACCCCTGCAGCAATGCTCCCTCTAAGATGTAGAGTCTTGTGAGCAAAAATTCTACTTTGTGAGTTACTGGCATTAAATTTGTGAGCGAGCAATTTGGCTACTGCATAAATTCGTTTGCTCTGGAGCCATCCTTCCTGAGCGAAGACAATAATGTGTGAGATGGAGGCTAAAAAACCGTGAGCTAGCTCACACTAACTCAGCTTAGAGGGAACACTGCTCTGCAGAAAGTGGGGCGTGATGGAATGACACACATTCAGACGTTTGATATCTCAGTTACCAGAATAATTGGAATGAATATGGGTATACCTATGGCCCATCATTAATACCAGCAACACAATTGCAAACATATAAAGATACAACATCTGGTCTTTATATAAGTGTACTAAAGATCTTGTATACATATGTTTGAATGTGTGTCTATATTATGTTGTATAGTGACCACTGAGGAAGGCCCTTTGAGGCTGAAACGCGTTTGGTCTTCCAGTTGGAAAGTGTTGACCCATCATGTGTATTAATATGCTTTTATTAGTCTGATACTTGAAAAAAAATTTTTTAACCCGAATATATTTTAATATGTGTACACCCTAATAAATTTTGTACTTTTATAATATATATGGTCAGCTTAACCCTTCTGGTTCGCAGTGTAATCTTGGGTTGAGTTTTTCCCTCCCCCCCACCCTTTTTCCAGTTTTTGTCAAAGCCCAGCCCACCTGCCACATCTTACAATTAAAGGGCCCTGGGTAGCAGGCACTGGGAAAGGCCTTTCTCTGCGAGAGACCCCGGTGGGGAGCTGTGAGTCAGAGGAAACAATATTAGGCTTCTGGGATCAATGGACTTAGTATAAGGTGGCTTTCCTCTGCTCACAGGAGGTGCCCCAATCTCAGGGCTACAGAGGGCCCAGTGGGCTCAATGTCCATTCATGATCTAGGCAAAAATAGCTTTGGCCCTTTATACACAACTCCTTGGGTTGGAGGGGGGGGGGAATGCTTCCTCAAGTAGCTCCCCCTTGGACTTTCCACTTTGGAAGAACTAGGCCCCAGTTACCAGGGATTACAGCATGATTACAGACCAACCAAGGGACCTTCATCCTTCTACTCATATACGATTGAGCGTTTTTTAAAAACTGGAGGCTGCCCCAGAAGTCACTTTGGGTGAGCTTTTGTGGGATACTATTCAATAAAACAAACAGAAAAGGCAGACGATCTTCTCAAGTGTCAAAAGGTTTGTGGAGAGTGGCTTGTGTATGAAAAATATGGTGAGACTGCCCCCTGCTGGAAAGCAGCTGAAAAAACACACTGAGGAATGAACCGCCTGTGGCCTTGAGTATCCATTCCGCACAATCAAAAACACCATTAAAGGTCACAAATTTGAATCACCTGTGAAATACAGGCCTACTAGTTCTCTATGGAATCCTTGGCTTTAAGCTATCCCATGCAGACAACAACCACGGCGTTTGAAACCCCCCCCCCACTAATATGTACATAATATTCTGATTTGTGTCCATTTTATTGGCTTCTGGTTGACTTCTGAGTACAACTCAAAGTGCTGGTCTTGACCCTGAAATCCCCAAATGGCGTGGGGCCAAGCTATCTTGAGAATCACCTTCTCTCCCTGCCCACTGACACAGCTCATTTTTAAAAGTCCCCCCACCCAGTTTTCCTCCACTGTCTAAGATGTGGTGGGTACTTACCTGAGGCGAGGTCTTTTCAGTAGCGGCAGCTAGAACGTACAACTTCCTCCCCCGAGAGACATACCTGGCTTCCTTGTTGATGAGTTTTATGCAGCAAGTGAAAACTTTACTCACAGGGCCTGAGAAGAGGGGGAAACTGGGGCTTTCTCTTCCTGCTCTAAATGGTATGTGTTCTGTAACTGTGTTATTGTGCTAGCTTTTATTATGTCAGCTTTAAAGGCAGTTTGTTCTTATCTTGAGGAAAGCCGCTTTATAGATCACTAAATAAGGCACACTATATTTTAAATAAACATATGTCACTTACCCAGCCCCCCTGTTGCTGGATCCAAGCCACCAGGCGGTTCTGCAAGAAGTCTGTAGCCCATTCCAGAACAGCAGGGAACCAGCTGGAACTAGTCTAAGGGTTGGAGAAAGAAAATACATTTGTAGAAGTACTCGTGTGATTCAAAGGCGGAAATGCCAGTGTGGCATGGTGGTTATCAATGCTCTCTCTGAGCTGTGGAGTCTTGTGAGCAAAAATTCTACTTTGTGAGCTACTGGCATTAAAGTTGTGAGCGGGTGACTTGGCTGCTGCATAAATCAGTTTGCTTTGGAGCCATCCTTTCTGAGCTAAGACAAAAATGTGTGCGCCAGAGGCTAAAAAACTGTGAGCTAGCTCACGCTAACTCAGCTTAGAGGGGTTATCCAAATCCCCTACTCTGCTGTGGAGATCATTGGATGGCAAAGGTGATTTCTCTTTCATCCTAGTATACCTCACAGGTTTGTTGTTTGTGAGAGAAAAAATGGGATCCATTTTATGCTCTCCTGGACTCCTCGGAAGAAGAGTGGAATATAAATTTGATAGTTACATCCAGTAGCACCTTAAGAGACCAACAAAGAGTTTCAGAGTAAAAAGCTTTTGAAAGTCAAAGCCTTTGTCAGACACAAGTAGAAACAAAGATCTTGAGTGCTTTTATTCCAGTCAGGTGAGAGGGATGTTGTACAAAACGTTCTGACTAGAATAAAAGGACTCAGAGATTTCCATTTCGACTCGTGTCTGATGAAGGGAGCTGTGACTCCCGAAAGCCCATAGACCCTGAAACTCTTGTTCGTCTCTAAGGTGCCACCGGTCTCAAATCTGCTTTACTGCAGACCAACATGGTTACCCTCTGAAACTACATAAGTTTGAGGGGTTTGCAAAAGAGAGAAGGAGTAAGAGGAGGAGGTGGGGAGGTGTGTATAAAGTTACACCTTGGACACAGCAGCAGATTTTGTCATCCCCTCTCCTTCACATGCAGCTGCTGGTGTGACTTTGGGTCAGCTTCAAATTCTTTCAGAGCTGTTCTCTCAAGAGCAGTCCTTGAAAGAGCTCTCTCAGCCCCAACTACCTCACAGGGTGTCTGCTGTGGGGAGGGGAAGGGAAAGGAGATTGTAAGCCGCTCTGAGACTCCTTTGGGTAGTAAATGGCAGGGTATAAAAATCCAATCTCCTCCTATTATTATTATTACCATCCCTCCCTTCCATAATGGATGTAACTCCCCCACATGACGGGCTTAAATTTCTCCACTGAAAGGAACACTGAGGGGAGCACAGCCTGCAGGCACTGATAAATTTTAGAAGGGGTGTCCACGGAGCAAGAGGCCCATCTCCTGCTAGCAGCCTCACAGAAAACAAAACAGAATACCTGCTTATCCTGGCAGTTCCTGACACAAAAAGGCTACGTGTGACCACTGAGAGAGCAGGGCAGATAATCAAAGGCTTCCAAAGTCCTAAGCCAAGCAGGGGAAACCTCCTCAAAGAGAGACCCTCTCGCTAAGGACCCACTAGCAGAGAGCTTTTGTCCTCTTGCCCACTTGTATGACTACATGGGGGAATCCCTCCTTTTACCCTCACCAACAACCCTGTGAGGTAAAACAGTGCTTGACCCAAGGTCACCCAAATGAATTCCACAGCTCAGGAGGACCAAATGCAACAGTCTGTACACTGCATGAGCTCTTGTGCACCTAGCCCTGCAGAGATGGATGTAGCTGTTCGCATATCCCCCAATACGAATGGGCCCAGAGAACCTCCCAAGTTCTTAATCTACTTCTACAAGGCAGGATGACGAAAAGAGAACGTCACATTCCAAAACCCAATACGATAAATTGTTGGGTGTTACAAGTTAAAACACTTCAGTATTTACAGGGTTAATGATGTTTGTTAAGTCACATGTTTGTTTGTAACCAATCTGTTTAGACAACAGAATGCCCGGGGAACTTTGGAGCTAATTTGCTAGTCTGATTGGAAACCAAGGTGTCAAGTATCTAGCATATTGGCTTCTCCTCCCGTTCTTTTGTTCTGACTAGAGAAGGAGACGCCATTCCTCTCTTCCCGTTTTACCTTTTAGCTGTAAGGATGTAGCCATATTAGCTCTTTGTTATTTTCATATCCTGTGTACCTTTTCCCATGTTAGGTTTATAGTAAACTTTTATATTTTAATACACACCATTGACTCAGTCTCTTAATACTCTGCTGACTTACTCAAAAAGAATCCCAACAAAAATCCTTGTCCAACATACAGCAATACAAAGCCCCCGCCCTGGTGACATTGCAGAAATTCTGTCTCCCAGGTCCCAAGTTCTTCCGCCTCCTCTTTTTTACCTGGGCAATGACTCTGTACGCAAAGTAGAAGAAGACAACAATCCGACCCCAGTTGATCCCGTTGGCAAACATGGTCTCTGAGACTTCGGCCAGGACTTTGAGTGGGTTGTTAGAGTTACCGGTGACACTATGCACCATACTGCAAAGACAGAGTGGCATCAGTATACAGAGGAAAGTACCCCAGGGGGAGCTGGCAAAGTTCCGTGTGTGAGAGAGAGAGGGAGCAGATGGGGACTGACCAACTGCAGCCTTGTACTGTACATTTTTACTAGAATCCACACTCTCAGCCAACGTATCGTAACATTTACAAAGCCAAAGTGCAAGCTCAAGTTTTCTGTCAGTTTGGTTGGTCCTAAAAAAACGGTATTACATGGATTCCGTTCTTGATTTTGCATGACTGTACAACTTCTTCAGGTTCTCCTAACCATTAACTAAGCTCTGTTAGGTGACCTTAAGTAGATAACATAATGAAGTGCCTTGTGGGATCACACTGAGATCCATCCAGCCTAAAATCCTTTGCCCGGATTCTCGCAAGCAAACGCTTGGGGGTCCACTGGAAACTGGCCAGTTTTCTGTATAAGGCCAAGTACTTGGATGGCCAAGTACTTTATAGCAACTTGGATGGCCCAGGCTAGCCTAGTTTTGTCAAATCTTGGAAGCTAGGCAGGATCAACCCTGGTTAATACTTGGATGGATGGGAGACAGACCACCAAGGAAGTCCAGGTTGCTATGCAGAGGCAGGCCATGGCAAACCCCCTCTGCTCATCTCTTGCCTTGAAAACCTTTTGGGATCACCACAAGTTGGCTGCAACTTGACGGCACTTTCCACCACACTTTAAATCAAGCCAAACCATTGGTCCATTTAAGTCAGTGTTGTTTATTCTGATTGGCAGGAAGTTGCCAGGGTTTCAGACAGAGAAAGCCCTTCCCCAGTGCTTGATTCCTTATCCGGAAAGCTGCAGACTGAACTCAGGAGTCTTCCATGTGCAAAACCACCGTGCCTCTGCTTCTCCCACAAACCTCTCATTCACCCCTATAAGACAGATGCACTCACCTGGTGATTTCTGAGTTATTGCTGAGTTCTTGCCACAGGCGGAGCATGAATTCTCGCAGCGAGGAGACCTGGTCAGCAGCTGACACATCCTCCCTAGCCAAGTCATCCATCAGTGCGACGTCTTCACTCAGCTGTTCCACTGAGGCCCGCTGAGGATGGTCATTGGCATGTTGCTGAAACAGAGATCTGATGAATCTGTTCAAAAAAAAGGGGCAGAAACATGTTAAGGGTGGTGGTGGTCCCTGGGTATTCAGAGAAGGGGAAGCCCTAATGGGAACGCTGACATACAGGATTGCCACCCTTTGAGTAGGAGACAAGGGGACAAGATTCTCTGAGGGCAGATATAGTTTGCAGAAAGGCGTTGGGCCGGGGGAACTGACTTTCTCCCGGATACCCAGGAAGGGCTGAGACGGCAAGACTGATGTGGACTGTATAAATCAATGGTGTGACCTCATTTGGAATACTGTGTGCAGTTCTGGTCACCACATCTTAAAAAGGGTATTATAGCTTTGGAAAAAGGGCAGAAAAGGGCAACTCGAATGATAAAGGGGTTGGAACACTTTCCCTATGAGGAAAGGTTAAAGCGCTTGGGGCACTTTAGCTTGGAGAAACGACGATTGAGGGTTGACATGATTGAGGTTTATAGGATGATGCATGGGATAGAGCAGGTAGAGAAAGAGGTACCTTTCTCCCTTTCTCACAATACAAGAACTCGTGGGCACTCAATGAAATTGCTGAGCGGTTGGGTTAGAACGGATAAAAGGAAGTCCTTCTTCACCCAAAGAGTGATTAACACATGGAATTCACTGCCACAGGAAGTGGTGGCGGCTACAAGCATGGACGGCTTCAAAAGGGAATTAGATAAGCATATGGAGCAGAGGTCCATCAGTGGCTATTAGCCACAAGGTATAGATAGGGGCTCTGGGGCAAGTGATGCTCTGTCATCTTGGTGCTTGGGGGGGGGGTCAACAGTGGGAGGGCTTCTAATGTCCTGGCCCCACTGGTGGACCTCCTGATGGCACTGGTATTTCTGGCCACTGTGTGACACAGAGTGTTGGACTGGATAGGCCTTTGGCCTGATCCAACATTGGCGCCTCTTATGTTCTTATGAAAGGGTTTTTTGGAGGTGTAAGAAGTTCTTAATCACGCTCAGGGACTGAGGGTGCCAGCCATATCATGAGGAGGTTTCACCTACCCAATCAGAAGGGCCCTTCCAACCCGAAGGATGTACGAGAGGTTGTCAGAAGCCCCTTGACAAAAACAAACACACAGAGAGAGAAAACAGAGTAGGTTAGTTACATAAGAGGATCAGACCATGCGGGATCAGACCAGAGGCCCATCAAGTCCAGCATCCTGTTCGCACTGTGGCCAACCAGCTTTCTCTAAGGAAGCCCACAAGCAGGAGGGGGGCAACAGCATCCTCCCACCCAGGGGTCGTTTCGTAGAAAAAGAGCTAGGGGAACTCATTAGCATAACTCATTAGCATATACCACACCCCCTGACATCAGGGGCCCGGCGGTGGACCTGCAAGGCCAGCGGGAGTGCAAGGAAGCCTCGCCAAGGGCCTCTTGGCCTCAGGCAGGCAGGGGTGGGGAGAGGCGGGGAGGAAGCAACTTACCCTCCCTCTTCTCCTGCCTCCTCCTGGCTGAATGAGGGCCGGAAGCGGGGCGGCTGGAAGCAGGGGGCGGGGTTTCGTCGTGTGCCCCGCCCCCCGCCCCTCACCCGAGAGAACTGCGATCCCCCGCGATCCCCCCTGAATCGACCTCTGCTCCCACCTGTGGTCCCCAGAAACTGACAGAAAGAGACCCACTGCCTCTTGCACCGGAGGGAGTAGACACCCATCACGACTAATAGCCGTTGTGACTAGTAGCCACTGACCGTTCTCTCAGCTCCCAAGATTCTGTCCTCCCTCTTGTATTGTCCTCATGCTGCATACTCCCCTCTTCTTTTTCTGCGATCCCAGAAACCTACATTCCTTTTCTTGTGTCTCCTCCAGTCTTAAGGCCCCAGAAGTCCCATAAGTACATATGTACCATACACTGCTCTTGGAACTGAACCAATTCAAATCCCCCCACTGTAATCCATGGGCAGTGTAACATGATACAAACTAGAGTGGTGGAGTCATTTTGTATCGGTGTGGCTAACTTCTAGGCGGGGTGTTTATTTTCTGTGGAAGAGGAAAAACTAAGACAAGGGAGCTGCCTTCTCTTGCAGCAAGCTAGCTCAGTACTGTGTGCTGAGACTAGCAGGGACTTTATAGGGCAGTGATGGCGAACCTTTTAGAGACCGAGTGCCCAAACTGCGACCCAAAACCCATTTATTTATTGCAAAGTGCCAACACGGCAATTTAACCTGAATACTGAGGTTTTACTTTAGAAAAAACAACTCATACATTAACTTAAGATGATCCAAACAAAGTAAGGAAAGCAATCCCAAATGCTTTCATTTACTTAAAATTATTTGGCAGAGAATTCGACACTTTAATGACGGTCTGGGCCTGGCTGGGGCGATGGCATGCGTGCCCACAGAGAGGGCTCTGAGTGCCACCTCTGGCACCCGTGCCATAGGTTCGCCACCACTGTTATAGGGTCTCCGGGCAGAAAAGTCTTTCCAACACCCTGAGTTCCTTTAAGAGGAGATGTCAGGGGGTGAACCTGGGACTGTCTGCATGCAAAGCAATTGCTCTATTACTAAGCACAATTCCTTTTTTCTTGCAGGGCTGCTGGTGAGTAGTGAATTGGAACTCAGTTCTGCAGTTGCCTCACCAGGGATTCTTACTTTTCTGGCAAAATTGCCTACTGTCACACTTGGAATATGGATGTCACAACTTGGTTACTGCATGCAGACTTTTGAAAAGCAGAAAACTTCAGCGCTTTGGCTCACAGGTGCTGGGGTGTGTGCCAACAGGCCAAGAGAAAACCATCCCATCCCTTTAACAGAGGCTTAACAGGATGCTATTTATCTCCATACCATGAAAGTGACAACTGCCTGTTTCCACATGTTAAACGTCTGTTAAAGGGACAGGACATTTTTTTCTCCAGGCAACCCCTTACAGATGTCACGATTACATGGTGGGAAACACAACAAGAGAGGTGACCCATCCATGAGTATCTCCCCATCACAACCTGCTAGCAAATTCTGCAATCAAGGGGGCTAAACAAAGTTTATGGTTTCATTACAGAAATAACTGGTGGGAAACTTTTATCTGTGGATAGGCTGGTTCCATTATTTATCTATTCAAAGGACATCCCTGGGCCAGGATGCTGCACACGAAGCCAATTTTCTCCAGGAGAGCCAGTCCCAATCATCACTTTTTCCCCACAAGGGGATCATCTCGGAAAAGGACCAGAGGTGTAGCCATGTTAGTCTGTTTTAGCAAACCAGAGACCTTAAAGCAGGCATACCCAACGTGGTGCCTGCCAACACCTTTTCTGGTTCTCGCCAAGTGTTTTTAGGAAGCGGGTGGGGCCAGGTAGTGCTTTTGCTCAGCAAGGCTTTCTGAATGGCAACTGGAGATTTGATTAGTTGTGCAGATTTTTTTAAAAATGCTGCTTTGGCAGCAGCTGCCACCACAGCACAAGAATCTTCACTGTGTAACTGAAGCAAAGCTATGGCAAATATTTTGTGGCTGACTCCGCCTCCTGTGGCAGCCCTTTTGTGGTTGACTCTGCCTCCTGTGGCAGCCCTTTTGTGGTTGACTCTGCCTCCTGTGGCAGCCCTTTTGTGGTTGACTCTGCCTCCTGTGGCAGCCCTTTTGTGGTTGACTCTGCCTCCTGTGGCAGCCATTTTGCGGCTGCGCCCACCATGCTGTGCCAGAATTCCAAAGGGCCCCACAGGCTCAAAAAGGTTAGGGACCCCTGCCTTAAAGGCTAACAGAATTTTCTTCCAATAGAAGCTTTTGTGATGAATTGAGCTCTAGCTCACAAAAAACATCTGCTGGAAGAAACTGTATTAGTCCTTAAGGTGCTACCAAACCCCTCTTTAATGTTGGTATAAAGCACATGCAAGGAAAATATACATTTATCTCATTGCACCTGCAGAGATCCAGCAGCCAGAGTTCATGGTAGCTGTCTGGATCAGTGTATTCATTGCAACAAAAAATTGGCAGTACACCACAGACATGACAGAGTTGTCAACAGGCCTAGACAAATTGCCTTGTCCTTTAACAGAGGCTTAACATGTAATAATGGGCACCTGGAGTTTTTCATGGCAGGGAGGTAAATAACATCACCTGGTAAATAATATCCCCATTAAGCCTCTATTAAAGGCACAGTGCTGCGGTGGCTCAAGTGGTTAAGACGCTGAACTGCAGGCTGTGGAAGGTCAGTAGTTCAGCAGTTCAAGACCCGGGTGCCGCAAGACAAGGTGAGCTCCTGTCTCTAGTTCCAGCTCCTGCCAACCTAGCAGTTCGAAAGCAAGAAATTGCAAGTAGATAAATAGGTACCACTTCGGTGGGAAGGTAACAGCGTTCAGTGCGCCTTGGTGTTTAGTCATGCCGGCCACATGGCCACGGAAACGTCTTCGGACAGCGCTGGCTCTTCGGCTTTGAAATGGAGATGAGCACTGCATCCCTAGAGTCGGATTCGACTGGCTTTCGAGCAAGGGAACCTTTACCTTTAAAGGCACAGGGCATTATTTTCTCCAGGCTTTTGACAACATTCACAACTGCCTACTCGGATCATCTCAGAGAGAGGAAAATATCATACAATGAGACCTGCACAAAAGATGCAAATGCACATGCTCACACGTGCTGGCCATGGCTCACTGTCAGAGCACATGCTGTGCATGCAGAAAAAACCAGGATCACTCCCTGGTAGTTCCCGTTTAAAACAGCGGGGCCCTGTGAGGCACATTTCTCCACCCGAGAATCTGGAGAGCCACCGCCAGGCAGAGTAGATACCATTTTATCTTTTTAAACTTTGTAACATCTGGCCTGACAAATACCTAGTGTGCTTGAACACTTGGACAATGTTCTGTACCCATTGAGTGTGTCCTAATAAAAGGTATTTACATGGATTTTGTTGGTCCTACTAAAAGGTATTAACACAGATTTTGTTTTGTTTTTGGATTTTGCAATGACCAAGATGGCTGTACATTTTTTTCTACTTAGAGGGATCAGTAGTCTGACTCAGTATCACGGGTTCACAGTCTAGCAGCTACACGTGTGAAAGGGTTGATCCACTATTCTGGTCTTGGACCAGCCATGAACTCTTAGAGGTATACCAGAATCCTTCAGGATCAACCCCACTCTAGTCCAGTCGTGAGGCGGGGACACAGACTTCTGAATTTCGGGGAGCGAAGGCACAGGGCTGAACCTGCTCCAGTCCCACGCCTAGTTATCTGTATTAAATTATTTCCATATTACATTATTGTTCTGTTTCCAAAAACCATATGCCATCAACAATTTATCATGCAGCTAAAAAGAGAATTGGTTTCCCTTGTAATATTCTGAATCTCAGGCAAAGAAGGAGGACTCTGTAAGAGGAGACAGAAGAGATCATGAACTCCTTCACTGAGACAATTTGACTAAATATCTCATTTGTGAATGAAACAAAATACCCCCCCCCCTCACAATTTCGGCTGAGTGTGTGACTGGCCCAAGGAATTTGAACTCTGCCCTCCCTAGTTGTAGATCAATGCTCTAACAACTACACCATTCACATTCAGGGTACTCAGTACAGTACCTGGCAAGGGGAGAGAGGGGTGGGCATTGCCCCTGCTGGGAAATCCCAGAGGGCCTGACAGCCGGGAGGGAGATTGGGGGGGGGGGGGGAAATCCCAGGGAGGCAGCTGGCCCCCCCCCCCCCCGCAGTTTACACCCCTGTTGTGAGGACACCATTGGTCTGCCTCAGGAGTTCAGGTAGGTAGCCGTTTTGGTCTGAAGCAACAGAACAAAGTTTGAGTCCAGTGGCCCCTTTAAGATCAACAATGTTTTAATTCTGGGTATGAGCTTTTCAAGACCCGAGTTGCCACATGACAGAGTGAGCTCCCGTCTCTAGTTCCAGCTCCTGCCAACTGAGCCGTTCGAAAGCAAGAAATTGCAAGTGGATAAATAGGTACCACTTCGGTGGGAAGGTAACAGCGTTCCGTGCGCCTTGGTGTTGAGTCATGCCAGCCACGTGACCACGGAAACGTCTTCGGACAGCGCTGGCTCTTCGGCTTGGAAACGGAGATGAGCACCGCAACCCTAGAGTCCGACTCGACTGGCTTTCGAGGAAGGGAACCTTTACCAGCTTTAGATGCAACAGAACAAAATTTGCGTCCAGTGGCCCCTTTAAGACTAACAAAGTTTAATTCCGGTGATGAGCTTTGGCGTGCACGGGCACCATCATGAGGAGTTGACAGCATCCCTGTCATTAAGGCGCCTAAGTGTTCTGAGCATTCTAAAGACAGCCCATCAATAGCCTTACGCTGCAAGTTAAGAGCATCACCAATGCACACAAGTGACGTCTCGGCGGCAAGCGCAGAATGCTTGAGAGTCTGTTCCCAGCTTGTCCCGACATGTCCAGGCGACTCTCGACAGGGAAGAAAAGGCTGAAGAATCCCTTTCCAAAATTAGGCACGGACGGGTTCCAACTCGCCAGCAGCACCCTTTATAGCCCGGCGGGTCACTGCAAACGGAAGGGTCCTCTCAGGACGCCGAGAAAGCCGCCCCTACACTGTCCCGCGCCCTCCTACCTGGCCCCCCCGAGGATGGCGGGAGCTGCCGCCCGGCCGCCGCCTCTGCAGCCATGGCCGAGTCGGAGCGCAGGCCCGCGCGCACGGCTCTTCCCGGGAGGCGCCTCGCCCTCGGCGGAAAAGTCCCAAACACCCAGGCTCAAGAAGGCCAGAACAAGGGAGAGGAAGAAGGCCGCTCTTGCCGAAGGAGCCGCCCCGGACCCAGTTGTCAGGAGGCCGAAAAGCGGCGTCGGAGGCACATGGGAAGGATGGAGTTGAACAACCGAAAGGGAAACTCGGAAAGCCGCCAGGCGCACGTCCAGGGCCGGGGTGTGTGTGTGTCTGTGTGGGGGGTGCAATTTCAAGAAGCCGGAGTGGTGCTTGTGCTTCCAAGCGGGGTGGGGCAGGAGAAAGAAACCTGAGCGGTCCAAGGGGCGTCTCTGCGTGAGTCACTGTTGGGTATTACAAGTTGAAAACACTCAGTATATCTGGGGTTAAATGTTTGTTTCTGTTACTCACAGGAAGTCACATGTTTCTCATGTAACCAGTGTTATTTAGCTGTAGAAAGCCCGGGAATTTTCTCCCTGATCTAGGGATTTGATTGGGACTAAAGCGTCAAGGTGTATTAGCATTTTATGGCTTCTCTTCCCGTCTTTGTTTGGTGTTCTGAAGAACAAGAAGAGTAGCCATAATCTCTCTTCTAGTTTTGTCTCTGTAGAGTAAGGATGTAGCCGATTATGCTCTGTTGTTATTTTCATCCCAGTTACCCTTCCCATGCTAGAATTTAGTAAAAACTTTATATTTTAATCACACATTGACTCTCAGTCTGAATTATTTTATTCTGGCACTGCTGGACTATCTTATCTCTGCTAAATACCATTTTTTCAATATTTCACTATCACCCAACAGTCACCGCGCCAGCTAATCGGTGGGGGGCAAGGAAGGGATGTGATCGTGACCCTAGCGACTCGGGGAACCTGGGCGAAGGCCCAGATGCAGCGCCAGGAGGAAAGACGTCCGGACCAACGACTCATGCAGAAGCCCAATGGACTAGCTCCCCTTAGAGAAAGTGGTTTCCCAAAAACATTCATGCTCGAACCAACGTTTCATGTCCGGGATTGACCAGATTCTCTCGTTTTCATTCTGGAAAAAAGCGCCCCAAGCCCAGACAAACCAACAAGGTCCATGTGTTTATTGGCTACACGAAATTTGCGCAAAGGAGCCAACAGGGTTCCGTTCTACTGAAGAGGTTTGAGGACGCAAAAACAGGGAGACCAAGTTGCTTCTGCCGCAGATAAGGGGAGGGAAGGGGGCGCACAAAACTCCCACTTCATAGCTGACCCCACCCTGTTCTTGTATCATTTGCCAACACAGTGACTTTGTCGGGGGTCAGGAAGGCATAATTTTTTTGTTGCGTTGAATGCATGGGGGGAGCACAGCCACTAGCTGAACAGAGGAAGATGCTCTCTTGTACGATGGAGAGAAAATAGGCAACAGGGTTGCACGCTAGAAAAATAAAGCCAGTGAAGAAAAGCTGATGGGTGAAACACCAGATTCCGCTCTTGAAAGTCACTGCTTTGATATTCCAACTATAGCAGACACGGTTCCAAATAGCTCTTCACGACCAGAGGGCATAGGAAAAGCAGCTGTCACTGTTAGGAATTTAGGTTTGATGCTAATACATTCGGTGCTTTTTTTTGGGGGGGGGAGTGTCTTCCTGCACCAGACTTCTTTGCTTCTCAGGAATGGAGAGGCCCTGCCTTACAATAGCAAAATTCAGACTGCAGGTAGGAAAGCAGTGCCATTTTGGATCCCCCCTCCACATAAAACTCCATGGAAGCAGAAAACCAAGACGAAAGGTTCTAAGCCGGTTCCTCATGGCCCTGCTTGCTTTCTTCTAGCAGTGAGTTAAATATATTTTGTCTACAGAAAATCCCCACCTGATAAACCTTAAGAAAGTGGAGACAGGACTATCTGTTATAAGGGAAGGGTTCTGGGGTTGAATGCTGCCCTGGCTAAGACATAAGGGGAGAGGGTAAGTAAATATTTCCTGCCTCTTGGGGCTTTACAGCATTGAAATGTTATCTTAGCAAGCCCACTGGTGGAGAGCAGCAAAGGAAATAAAATATTGTAAAGGGGAGGAATGAGGCAAAGCGTCCCATCAACTGATACAAACCTCGAATAAAGACCCTTACTCAGCCTCTCTTGAGTGTTATAATTAATGGTACCATTTTAAATTTTATTGCTCAAAACAAAGACTGTTTTAATCAGAATTGTGTTATAGATGTTTTACAATGTTAATTGATACTTATTTACTACGACCTTTTGACACCATCTTTCTCCGGAGAGGCGTAATTACTTGTGGCTTAATTTTTTGTGGTATTGAGACCTATTGTATTGTGAAGTACATTTTGTAATGTGATAACCTGTATTTGACATACGTTTATTGTCACTGGTTCGTCTTTGTATCTGACGTTAAATTTTCAATAAAAACTTCAAAAAAATCTTATTGCTCATTCAGCCTTTTTTGCAAACCACAGCTCGCATGTTCATATTTCCCTTGCAAACTGCTTTGTTGTTCAGTCGCACAGTCGAGTCCGACTCTTCGCCACCCCATGGACCAGATCCCGCCAGGCCTTCCTGTCTTCCGCCGTCCTCTGAAGTTGGCTCAACTTCATGTTCGTTGCATCTATGACACTGTCTAACCATCTCATCCTTTGCCGTCCCCGTCTTCTTTGACCTTCAATCTTTCCCAGCATCAGGGTCTTCTCCAGTGAGTGCTCCCTTCTCATTTGGTGGCCAAAGTATTTGAGCTTCAGTTTCATTATCTGGCCTTGCAGGGAACAGTCAGGGTTGATTTCTTTTAGGATTGACTGATTTGATCTTCTTGCAGTCCAAGGGACTCTCAAGAGTCTTCTCCAGCACTGCTATTCTCCCCCCAACCCTAAATTCTTTGCCAGATCGTTTCTATACCACAGGTGGGGGGGCTACTTACATGGCAGCAGACTAGAGCCACTGTTAAGACCAGTTGTATCATTGTTTCCCTCTACAAACCACGCTGAGACTTCAACTGATTTCTTTTTTTTAATTTCCACACACCAGAACAAAACAAAACAAAATGAATGAACTTCACAGTTAACAAATCAGGAAAGATGTATCAAACATTTCTTTTAAAAATTGTAAAAAAGGGTAATTCTTTTTTTTTTAAAAAAAGCATAGAAACCATTTCATGGAGTGGGGGGACTGAATTGCATAGAAAAGCCAACCAGGAGCAACGTTAACAGTAAGGACAGCAGCCAAGGGCAGCCCCCAGGCATCCCCCCCATGTACAGTACTAGAGAGCAGCTTTGTTATAGCCGGGTGTGATTGGCACTGCAATAAGGCTCAGGGTCAGCTATTAGGTGCCAGGATTAGGAATCCTCCAGAAACAGGATTAGCAAAAACAAAAATTATAACATTGCATGGTGCCCTCCAAAGATATGGTGCTGAGTAGGCAAGCCTATTGAAAGCCCTTGATGAATGTTTCCCGCCACCTCTCTAAAGGATTATTTTCCCCCCAGTGGCTAGTTGAAGGCTTTGAGAGGAATAACGGAGCAGCCGTCATTAAGATGTTACTCCCACATGCTGGCCCTGAAGCGGCGGCGATCTCTTGCTGTGAGTTCTGCTTTAGTGAAGTGCAGGTTGTCACAGTCATCCAGGGAATTCCCTGCACTGGGAAAGTGATGTGGGGCAGGAGGAAAAGGTACAATTCAGCACTGATACCTCGAGAAGCCCCAGTGGTCCTTTGCACACTGGAGGAGACCGCTGAGGCACAACGGCTCGTATGTCCCGCTCTGTGCAACCTGCCAGTCACTCTGGCCGTCCAAAGACGGTCTGCCCGACAACTGTTTTGTTGGAACTCTTTTTGGCACTTGCCCAAATGGATGTACTGTAAACTTCTTGGGGAGGACACAGCACTGGGGAATGGTTGAAGGGGGTGGGAGTGAAAAAGGTCCCTTACCAAAAGTGGGAGAGAAGCTCAATGCAAAATGGCTGAGCAGAAAGAGAAAGAACAGCTTTACATACTACCCAATGGGGTGGGGGGAGATTCCTATACAGATTGTGGCACAACAGCAACCCAAGACACACAAGAAGCATTGTTATACCTCCTGGACGTCCCAAGCCCATCAGAGAGCGATGCCAGCAATCCAAGAATTCTCCCCACCCCAATCTTGGGATTACATATAACGCTGTCAACACATCCTCAAGCCTGAAACAAATATTAACCCACTGAAAGCCCAGAACGTTAGCACCCCTCCCCCCACCCCCTTAGTAAATCCTTAAACCTGAACTCTTTTGTAAACCCTAAATTATGACATCATGAAAAACCCACAGCATTAAAAAAACCCCTTCCAAACAATGACATCAGAAGCCCCAAACTCTCCCCTCAAATTCTCTAATGTCGGCATTTACTTCTGATTCCCACCCCTCCATTCAAAATGTGGGCGTTTCCCATTCCTCCAACCCCCTCCCCTCTAATGGCATCACACTCCACACTCCCCCAACCCAGCCCCTGAGGTAACATAAGACCCCTCCCCAATAATTATTCAAGTACAACTGATTCTCCCCAGCCTGCTCCACTCACTGGGTCTTCTCCCCCCCCCTTCACTCCCCCCTCCCCTCTAACCCCACCTGTACATTCACAACAGCCGGCTGCACTCGCTTGCCTTTGATGAACGAAAGTGGCACAAGCAGCCGTAGAGAAGGGGGGGGGGGCTTTCAGATACTGAATCCTGCCCTGATTGGATTAATAAAAAGACAACACAGGGGATGGTTGCCTGTGCCTGTTCAGGGATGTGTGCGGTGCAAGTCCCTACAGGGAAAGGAAGACAATGGTCCAGGTTGGGGAAATTTCTATAGTTTTCTTCTACATACCCTCTTTTCCCTGCCCATCACTTATTCTCCTCCCCTGTAACCACTGCAGGGGGGAAAAAAACACCTGATGATTTCCAAGAACAATCCAGTACTGCCTTTGATGGAGGTGGGAAAGGTTAACTCTGCCTACCCGGCTCCCCCCAAAACGACGACATACATTGTGGGGAAGACACGCATGGCCAGCCCTGCCATTACTAGAGGATGTTTTAGCACACTGAGCTACACACACACTCAACTGGGGGCAGGCCAAACTATCTCCACCTGCAACGGATAACTGTGTTCCTATGGCTGCCATGACCCGTGTCCCTGCAACGGTATTTTCTTGATGCCCGATTTAACACACACGGGAGAGTGAGGGACAAATGGCTGCTCCAAAAGGGTGGGGGTCCTTTCCTAAAAAAAGAGAAACGACCACCACCGCTAACAGAAAACCAACTCAGCAAACGAAGAGCGGGTACAACCAGCCTCCCCTACTGTGCTAGTTTTCTATTCACAGGGCTTTGCTTCTTTTTTTAAAGGAAAAGGAACATTCAGAGTTGGACTCCACCACCAGTAGTCTGAAGTGGTACAGTCCATTCTGCCACCAGTCTCCATTACCTGAGTGATCCAGACTGTAGTTTCTTTACTTGTGTCCAATCTCTTCCCTTTCCAGAGGAGAAAAAAATACATGGGACAACCATAAGGAAGAGAGAGGAAAAGGGGCTTGACAACAGGGATGGGCACAAAACTAAAAATTCCAGTTCAGGGCAATTCTTGAATCAAACCAGGCAAAAAAAGAAAATGCCCGAATCAGCCAGTTCAGATCCCCCTTTCTCCCAGCTGCAGCAAGCCGTGTCCGGGAGAAAAGGGGGAGGGATTGCTAGGAAAGGGTTAAATGGCTGGCGGCCATTTAATCTAGCCATTTCAAAGAAGGGGGAGAGTGAAATGGATGGGTTAAATGGCTTGCAGTCATTTAAATCTAACAGCCGACAGGCGGACTCACCCGCTGTTAGGTTTAAAGGGCTGGCAGCCATTTCAGCAGTCTGTCTCACTTCCCCTCACCTCAATGCAGGAGGAAGCAAAACCGACCAGTGAAATGGCTTGCAGCCATTTAAATCTAACAGGTGAGGACCAAACTGTACAAAAATCCACTAAAACTTTGGGGAAGCGCCTTCCTTGAACATCAGTTTGGGGGCTATGAAATGCGCCAAGTTCATGATGAATTCTGGCTCATGGACTGGTTCATGCCCATCCCTACTTGGCAGGCCCATTTCCCAACAAAGTTACAGGAAGTTGTTTTCGCCAGCTGGCTAAATCAGCTACCCCCGTGCATCTGATGCACCTTCAGCAAAGTTCTAATCTCTACCTCTGCCTGCAGGAGACAAAATCAGAAAGAACCCTGCGGTGGCCAGATGGTCCACTAACATATGGCATGCTCCATCCTCCCATCCATCTCTCCCCTGCTCTGAACCACCAAAAACACATAGATTAGTTAATTTTTTTCTCCCCTGAACCATCTCCAGAGCAAATACAGGGTAAATGCAGCAAGGAGATGGAAAATATCTCTCTTCAGCCGAGAGGCAGAACGCAGAGGCTTTAAGCTAAGATATGAGCCCCGCTTCCTTATGGTAAAAATAGTTTTGAAGCACCAGTTTGCGTGAAAGTTAATTCCACACTAATCCAAATCTGTACAAAATTAATATTTGCATGGCAACACAGTGGGGGGATGGCATTCTTCCAGATATTGGAATCTGCATCCAGCCAGATGTGCATAAGTAGTATCTTGTCACTGCACACAAATTGGGGGGGGGGAATGAGAAGAAAGAAAAAGAAGAGAAGTCACACAAGAAAATACCAAATGCTCAAACTTTCCCCATCACAGCCACAATCAGATAGTCTGTATTGGGGCACAGTAGGTGCAACGCAGATTTTAAAAAAAGCGTCTGGTGCCATTTTTTGTTTGCCGAGCTGAGCTGACAGGCCTAAGGCAACACCTGGAGGGCAGCTAGTCCAGTGGAGGAATGGAAGAGGCTGGCAGTGAAATGCAGAACCTTTGCAGAACAGGTGGAAGCCTGCCACGCTTTCTTTCCCTGCTCCTTTCTCCCTAAGCCACCAAGATCCTCAGGCAGTCGGAAGCATCTTTTCCACTGGGGCGGAACTGGGGCAGATGACTCCGCCCTGCAGCCGAGGGTCCCCTCTTGCCAGGCACACGCAATCGCTCCCATTCCATCTGGAGAGCAACCATTTCACACAGCACAGCTCTCCCGTCTTGTCTTCCAACAGATCCGTCGATGTACGTGATGCATCTCTCTGGCCGCCGCCACCACCACCGAACATCTCTTTAGAAAACCCAAAGGACCCGCTTACTGTGAGGCATTGCTTCAAAATCCCCCGTTTTACATCGGCTGCTACAAGGTGTCTGCCTAAATTAATCTCTGGAAAGGCGTCGAGACAACGCCGCTTCTTGGCGTTTGTAATTTAGTACCCGTGGTCCAAATCGTCACTGCCTCAGGCCGCATTTCAAGTTCTGTACAGGCGGAATTTGGTATTTCGGCTGACAAGATTTGAATCTGCCTATGCAGAGCCGTGTCCAGGTTCGGCCTCTGAGATCTCCCGTCCCAAAAGAGAGAGATCAGCAAGGTTGGCTTGCACAGTTCCACTGGAATCCGTCTCGTCTGAAGAAGCCAAGAAGACAAAACATCCTGTTGTCCTGTTCCAGGAAACCTCATCCAGGCCGAGCAGTGTGGCCCGCTCGCCAACCAGAAGCTACCCACCATCCTTCATTTCACCTTCCTCCCCTCCCCAGCTTCCTTCAAAAGCTGCAACTGGCAATCTCCATGGCTGATCTCTAACCTCCAGGAGGCACAGACAGGCAAAAGCAATACCATCAAGTACACGTCCCTTGAAAAAGGTGTGCGCTTTTTAAAAAAGGCACCAAGATAGAGTACATAAAAAAAGCTCATCTGACCGTAACGGGGGGGAGGGGGGTCACAGCCCATTTTCCCCTCTTGATTAGGAAATCGAAGGTGCCCGCCCCTCTTTGTTCCCACAATGAAAAAGTGTGCCCATCTCTCCCCCCGCCGGAGGGTACTGAAGATTAAGACATTTTCCAGAAGGTCAGTGATGCAGTCAGGACACCGGCAGCAAATACAGCAATGGTTTGCCACGTGGGGGTGCCGAAGTAGGACAGGAGGCCTTCCTAGAAAACAAGATGGGAAGAGGAAGAATTCAAGTTGCACAAATTGAAAACTCAAACATCACCTGACCAATGTTCCCTCTAAGCTGTGGAGTCTTGTGAGCAAAAATTCTACTTTGTGAGCT